AACGTACGGAAGTACAGTAAAATCTGTCTAAACCGGAATGAATCGGGACAAAAGTTATTTCGGTTTAAGAAGGTTTCCGTTTTATACAGGGTTATCTATTTTATTACACTTTTATATTGATATTTCCGTCCTGACACTAGTAAATTACATGAATTCATTATAATTATAAAAATATATTAACATATAAGATATTTATGAAAGAATTCACCCATAAATATTAAACATATTTATGACAATTTAAAAAAAACCTCACAACTTGTGCACTAAAATAATATTATTTTTGCAACATAATTTTTCAATAAATAAATAAATAAAATAAATAAATAAAATAAATAAATAATAAATAAATAAATAAATAAATAAATAAATAAATATAAGAATAAATAAATTAAATAAATAAATAAATAATAAATAAATAATTATAAATAAATAAATAAATAAATAAATAAATAAATAAATAAATAAATAAATAAATAAATAAATAAATAAATAAAGTTAATTAAAATAAAAATAAAAACATTCATCTACATTTTTGTGGGTTTGGTTTTCCCACTTACTAAGAATTATGTTTTCTGAAGTTGAAAAATTTTAATATTTAAGGTTTTATGGTATTTTCCAACTAGTTGTGAAACATAAAAACACACCACCTCACTGCCTAGTGCCTGCACCCAGACTGCTCGCTGACTTCAACGGACAATGCGTTATCAGAGTCTCTCTACTAGAGTACTACTAGAGTACCAGATTTCTTTCTGATACCATCGCATGGCCTTGACCATTGCGGCTCTGACCAAGGAGTTAAGATTGTGAACGCGGGGCCGGTAAATGCGTGAAAACAAGCAATTTTAGCAAAAGATTTTCTCAATAACGGCATCAAATATTTTCCCTACTTTTTGAATGGATGTAGCTAAATGGACTAAATAACATTGCATAAACTTTGTTTTGACGCAAGGTTTTTGATTATTCAAAAATTACATAAATGTATGTTTAAGAATTTGCATATTAAGTAACCCTAACAAAAACAACGAAAAAATGTGTGTTGTTTTAGAACCACTAATTCCATTTATATTCGTTTATTTTCCTTCTTCCCTCTTGGTGTACTTTGACCAACTACTAGCGCTTTTCCTCGTTCCTTTTCCTGCTCGTTATCTAGAAGGAAATATTTTTTGCCATAAAACAGTAAATCCCTGATAAATAACCGTTAACAAACTGTCACAAATACGTCTACCTCGTGTATAGATTCCTTCAATTGAATGCAAAGATGAATTTTGAGAGTTGGCTGAATACTTTTACCACATCTAGTTTCTACACTTCGCCGGGCAAAATAACATCCGACATGATATTAGATATCCCATGAATTTTGTCACGTCAGAGCATACCAAATCAATAACGCAGTATTACCCCCCTGTCGGGTCCGAGATAAATATTAATTGGTGTTGTTCAAGTCATTAGTCCAGAAAGTCGTTTACGACGGAACGCGTATTCGGACGAGAAGACATTAGGAGTCGAGTCCAGAATTTTCAAAGAAGTACTGACCTCATGATTTTACGTAAATGTGTCGTCTGGTAATAGGTAAATAAAAAGTTTACTTTTTATTTTAATAATAAATACATAATTTTATCATTTTATAACCTCCTTTCCATCTTTTTATTTATTTTCACAATCCGCCTCTAGGATACGAGAGTTCGTAACACAAAAGCCCTCGAGTTTTGTAATAACCAGCATCGTTGGTGATAGCCATATATTTAGAAAACGTATGACGGTCCGCAAATTAAGTGTATACTGAAATGTTCTATTTCTCAGCCTGTTTCGAAGGCCATGAACTATTAAAATGTTACGTAGTATGGAATAACATTATTTAAGAAACCCAGATAATAAGGTAACCTGAGAAATGTGTGCTATGTGTAAGCACTTGCTTTTTTTCTTGTCTTTTTTTCTTTGCGAATACATTTCTCGCTCGCTTCTCTTCTTGTCATTTCTAGGAACAGTGATGGGCATTTGTCGTATCTACAAGTACATTCTCCCCTCCACCGGGTATCAACGGCCCTGGGGGCTGGATTAAATAGATACCAGATACCGATCTCTCTTGGCTTCCCCAATTCAACCAGCAAGGGTTTCGGAAATCAGAGGAGGAGGCCGCCCCCACAGTCAGGGAGAGGCTACCTGCTTTTAAATTCGTCAAGTGAAAGGTGTACTTCAGTCCCCGAGTTCACGATGAATCTCTCCTCACTTTCCCGGAAGATAATTGCTCAGGAATAACTGACACACTGGACCCCCCACCATTCGACGAGTCCTGGAATCTCAGCCTGGTTCCACACTGACATTGACGATTCCCATTTGACATTCAACGATGAGGGTAAAACCGAGAAACTCTCGTCGTAGCGAACAGCGTCTCAGCGTGTGCACATTTCCTGAGAGCAGTTCATAAATCAATGTCAAATTAAATATTCATCAGATTACTTGCGTTGTCTTTGCGTTAATGAGTAAGCCCCTGCACCTGTCAGAATCTGTCTAGACTCGTGTGAGCGATAACAGACCCCCAGTGAAGCGTTCTGCAGTTTTAAGTGACGTCTCTAGACGTAAGTTTAAGGAAGAAATTACTTCTCGCGGACAGTAGGGCTCCATTAAAACCGTTTTATCTTCTGTCTTTCTATCTCTCCTCCCCCTCCCCCTCCCCTATCTTCCCCCGCTAGATGGCGAGATACCGCCGCCAGCAGGGTTTTCCACAACCATCTCTCACCAGCGAGGCACTGCCCCAGCCGGAACAATCCCGACCGGTCTCCCGGCATGCGTGGTAATGTAGTACATGTTAGTGTAATTGTGTATAAGAGGTGAAGATATGACAAGGAAGAGGTAGGAAAGATCGCGCGGTCAGTGTCCCGTTTGTAATTGTACTGCTCCGGCATTCGCCTGGCGTTGTTCGGAGAAACCACGGAAATCTACCGATCAGAACAGCTAGCCTTTAGAATTCTCCTCCAGACGGCGACTGACTTCGTCCTAGCTGACAAGCTACAAGCTATAGCCGAAAACCTTGCCACTCGAACCTAGGACCTCCCGGTTAGAGGCACTGCAGTTACATCAATTGCACTGAGCCACCTCTCCAGGTACGGGAGGATGAAATGCTGAGTTCCTCCCACCGATTTCGATTGTTTCGAGCCGCTTAAAAAGCGCGCGTATGTTTGAAGAACCGAAGCTATTTCCCCATACGAGTAGCGCAAACCTTATTATTTTTCCTCAAACACCAAAGCAAATATTTTATTTGGTAATTTGATTGAAAAGAAGAAATTTGTCACAACATTCTTTTCTTCAATTCATCGTGAAATGGACTCTGTCAGTTAAACGATTCATATCCATTTGAGCTACGACAGCATGCCATGGCACCGTCAGAGTGTGCGCGAGATATAAGGATAAACTCTAAGAAGGGGCCTGTTTGACAGGCCGCGAAACAAATGAATGGTATGCAGGGCGGTGTTAATACAAGATATATAGCTAAACCCATTTACTATTGAGACAATTGTAAGCGAACGCACTGTTCAAATGAGTTCATAGACATAACCTGCAGATATGTTGCCAACAGTGATCAAACAGTAGCAGTCAAAGCGATATTACAGTAATCTGTGTATGCGCACACTATGCCCATTAAATCGCGAGCGAGACACATGACACCGAAACTCTACGCCTGCATAGTATATCCATCTAAAAATACAATCCTTGTTCAAAAAACATTCAGTAGTCCAATGCGAGCTAGGGTCCAGAAATTTGTTTTGGCCGCTTTCGTGACTTTTTTCATTGGTTTTCTTGAGTTCTTTCTTACATGAATAAAGCGAATTTAATTCTTTGAGCAGAAGCTGCCTTTCGAAAAACTAAGTAATGGATGTGTTGGAGACGGCATACAGTATATCAGTGACTCCCTTCTCTGCGACGTCAGCCGTGTGCGCACATATTCCTCGTGCGAAGACTAATCGGGTGCGAGTTTCCAGCCCTCCGCCAGGGTTGGGTCGGAAATCATCTCCCCCCCCCCTCGGCATTCACCGGGTGAAAGTGGTCTCGTTTGTTAATTTTTAATTGAGATTAATTGACAAAACCAAGCCAAAAAATCATCAGAACAAAATTTTATAATCTGATGCGATAATTCAAAAATAATACAAGCTTCTGTATTTACGAAAATTCTACTTTATGCATTTTTCACCGATGGTCACTCAAGAATATTCAATTTACGGATATCTGAAAATGATTATACAATATTGTTATGGAAATTTTTCATTTAAAAAAATATCAACAACGAAGAAACATCGAAAACACAACATTGATGTTAAAAAAACTCGCCTACTAAATATTGGAGTTTAAGGCATTGATAATTATATAAAAACTTCGATGTTTTTATAGAAAAATCAATATTTTAAACATCGAACAATTGGAGCTGAAGATGTTTTAAATCGATGTTTTGTGCTCGATCTTTTTAAGTTTTCGATGTTTAGTTTGTGGAAGAAAACATCCCATAATTCTGTAAAAGTTCGAATATGAATTATGAAATAATACAAACTGGTGTCACTGTCAGTTTCTGTGATCCGCCCGAACGAACGCTTTTGTATTACCTTCGTCGAGCAGGCTACCTCTGCCACGAAGGACGACCCCAATACCCTGGCATTTCCTATGTGATTCCTCATAATTCGCACATGGAGAGACGATAAAGTGTGCGGCACACCGGGGGCTTAGGGTCTTTCTATTTCTTCTCGGATCTTCTTCAGTGAACTTAGTGCTGGCATTTTGAGATTATCCTAGAGGCACAGGCTTCGAGGCTTAGCTTTGCCCATTGTTATTATTAATATTTTACTTAGTTTTCAATTAAATATTTATTGCAATTTAAACACGGCCATGGAAATTTTTTGCACGTGAATTTAATGTTAGAATTAGGTTTAAAACATTGATGTTTAAAAAACATACAGATGGGTTTTTAATGCGGATGTCGCATCGCTACTGCCTATTGTTGTCTGCGTGCGCAGGTGGCGCGCGTGCTGCTGGCGGCGGGGGCGGGCGCGGGGCTGCGCGACTGGACGGGCTGCACGGCGCTGCACCTGGCGGCGGCGGGCGGGCACGCGAGCGCGGCGCGAGGCCTGATGGGCGGCCGGCGCGCCCCGCTGCGCCGCGACCACCGCGCCGCGCGCCGCTCCATGCTGCCCGCCCCGCCCCACGCGCTCCGGGCGCTGCTCGCCACCGCCGCGCCGACGCCGAAGCACGCGCCGAACAGCCCGCTAGCCACACACAACGCCAGCTGGAAAAGATGGCCTCCGAGCGCCGGTGAACGGACCAAGCGACCACCTCGGAGCAATACTGCGGTTTTTCCAACTCTACCCCTGGCAGGTACCAGCTGTTCAGTTTCATCCGGTTTATAAATGGTTCAAAGCACTAGTGCTCCGGACACAGCACATTCGCATTATTTCTAACTTTTAAATATTCGAAAAGTCAGAGAGTTCAACGAAAATTAATCATGCGCAATTCCTTTAAGCGTTCCTTGTCTCTGCGGTAGGGAGGGGGCAATTTAATAAAAATTAAGAGCGGTTATAGAAATTTTTTTTATAAAGTGAATTAATTTCAAGATGAAATTACACAAAAGTACTGTTTTTTTACATTGTACATGACATGATGGCATTGCACATGTATTAAGTTCGCCGCCAAAGAAACTAGCGTCAATTTAGTACGTATTACGTATATGATGAGTAATATACGTAGGAAGGTATGTGAAGCAGCGCCAATAACGGCGATTGTGCGACTGAAAAACTCGTCTGATGCACAAAGAGTATATAACACTTCCTCTAATATGTTGTAAATAACTCCCTCTAACACGTCATGAAGTCAGATATCAGAATTTGTGGGACATTGATACCAACAAAGACTTTTTTTAAAACGTCCAACCGTCTGTGAACACCACTTAAACCATACATAGGATTTCTTCCAAAACGGATATTCTCCAGTTGATCTGGCTGGACTCGAAGAATTTGAAAAACATCAAATTTTGGGGGTACTTTTCATGAAGCCCATTTCGAAAATACGGAGAGTTCACCGAAAATGAGACTATTGCATTATTTCTTAACGCCCATTGAAACATATGAGCAGAAAATTTAAAGAAAAAGTTTAAAGCGGTTTTTCAGAAAACGGACAGCTGACAGACGGGCTGACGGACGGGCTGACAGAGGGGCTGATGGACGGGCTGACAAAAACACAGACGGATTGTCTGGACTAACGGACAACGGACTGACGGGCGGACTGACGAACGGACGGACGGACGGACAGACAGACTGTCGGACGGACAGACTGTCGGACGGACAGACTGTCGGACGGACAGACTGTCGGACGGACAGACTGTCGGACTGGTTTACGTGCGGGCTGACGGACATACTGACGAGCGAGCTAACGGGCGGACGGCATGTCGGACGGACTAACATCATACGAAACTCAGAGGAAATAGATTTAATCTCCAGAATTCTAACACGTCATCTCGGTTGAAAAAGCTTCAAGGTCTTCTGTACAAGTAGAGATTGCATGTCACGTTGCTGCTTCTCGGATTTTCCTTGTAGCGTTTTCACTGCAGACAAGGCACTTGGCACTGCTCCAATTCAATTTCACAACATAGGTCATGCATTCTTTACACATACATTGGCAAAAATATACGTAACTATTTATTTTAGCTTCAATATATACTATGATAAATCTACTATATGACACTTTTGGGCTATATGACGAATGGCACAGACTCTCTCGTGCTCGTTATTTCGGCGTCTAAAAGACCACCGGGGCCACTCATTGTGCCTACCGCCACTCAGAAAGGTGGTAAAAAGCACCTTTCTCACACCCTGAATAACAGATAGACCAATATCGGATCTGAACATTTACATATTTGCCCAGTATCCCTTGATCCCACCTTGATGCTTGTATATTTGTTTTGGCTGAAGAGTCCAGTTCCTCAATGATACACACAGATTGCACCCAGATGCTCGTCAAAGAGATTATGGTGTAGATGTAACACATAAGGGAACCGCAATGCCCAACAACGCCTCAACATTGAAAACATTCATGTCTTAAGTTGGTTTCGAACCCACAGCCTTTGGGTCCACATATTTGGCACACTTGCCCTAAGCCCCCGTCTCATTAGGCCGAATCACTTGACCGTACTGATTATAATGGTGTTACGACTTCGTAATATAATAATTTGCTAAAACCAATAATAAAACTAAAACTCGTATTTTGTCATATGATGTGCAATTGACTGATGTTAAAGGAGATCGAAACACAAAAATGTTCGTTATAAAGCTTGAAGCGTGTCATAATCCACCGCCTGTGTCGCAATTCGCTGCATTGTGCCGTTCTCGAGTTGTGGCGGCTTCTTGGAACGCATAGACGTCACGCTGCCGCGCGAATGAAACATTTTGCCTTCTGCTCCGACTGAAAGGTTACCGGTTTGTCTAGTAATTTCGAGCTGTACTGGATCAAGTGTAAGATTTTTTCATTCATCCTAGTGTAGTTTAGTGTAGTAATTAAATGTGTAACAATGCCTCTAATAAATCAAATAAATCTCATGAAAATGCACCTAGAATCAAAGTACTTACTTGTTCGTTGTTATTTTTAAAAAATCTCCAGAGATTTGCTATCGCATAGACACAATTTTGCTACAGATTGTGCGAGCATTTGTACGAGTAATGAACTATATCAAAAATGCTGGAATTGTGCTTCACCAGTAAATAGAAAGGCTTATACAAAAGTGTCGATGTTAAGTTCAATAATAATATGTAAGAGAGGTCGTTAGCTCGAATGGATTTTTTAAAAATTAAATTGAAAACTGCTATTAGGCATGTACTTATCTCTGCTGCTATAATGGTGTGTGGTGCCAAATAGAGTGTTTTTAACATATTTTGTGCAGTTTTGAAAATGATGCAGGATTTCTAGAACTATATTTCAAAGAACATCTCTCAATTCTTTAGACCTGTCCTTAATTTCTTTTAAATGGGTACTGTGGACCTAACTAACTTCTTTTTAAATTAATGAGACCATTCAGTCGATGCAAGGAAATCCACGTACATCCCATTGGCTTCAGGCATGGTCGTGTGCAGCCTAAAGCAAAAGAGGGAGGCCAACTAACGGCCCCTAAGGGCATACTTTTCGTTTAATTTTTTGTATTTGCAGATGACCGATTTTATTTGGCAATAATAATACATACCACAAAAAGTAAAATTACAACTTTAATGAAACTATTAATAAATATAATTGTTTTTTATGTTGAACCATTAATCCGTAATGTAAAACGAATGCGATGTACGGATATATTTTGTTTCAATGAACCTTAAAAGTCTGGCATGTGTCGCGTAAAATTTAGAACATTGTATCCAAAACTTATTTCAAAGAGGGGGATTGAACATTATACATAGAATAAATTGCTTTCAATGGCAGGTATTTAAATCTTCAATTTCAGGGGTGCCACGCACTTCTCTATCCGTTGACTTTATTTTGCAATTTTCACCTTTTACCGTTTCCTTTGTGTCCTAAATTGTCTTTCATTTCACTTGTCCCCGATTTCCTCTCACTCGATTCCTGGCAAGGCTTAATGATATCGAGCTCATGATATCGCGTGGCACAGCAGCACAAACCACTATGGCGAAAACAAAAATTGATTTGAAAGACATTTAACCCCCCTTGATTACAGTTGCGGAGGGAGAAGGTGCCACGCAGCAATATAGACATAGATGGAGGGTCATAAACCCAATAACTGAGGCATACTTCGTAAATCAAAAGGAAAGGCAAAGGTCAAATTTCTAACTTCATTAAAAGATGCTTACAAAAATCACGTGGGTGGAATTTACTTATTACTCGTACGATTCTTATTTGTAATTCCAATATGGAAGAATGTGTTTTTCCCAGAATAGTATCCTAGACGGAAACGACAATGAGGAGTACGAAGTCTGTATTTGAAATTATTTTCAACGCGCAACATAACTTTGCGTTCGATTCAGTTAAACAAACTATTGGAGGTTTCATTGAATTGAAAGACCCACAAAGTTTGTTACCTCAAAGGAGATAGAAACACAAAATCCAATTTTCCTATTTTCATTGAGTTTTACAGGGGTGGGCAATTTTATATTAAGCTTGTGCAACAGCGTATAGAGACGGATACCCGGAGGATGGAGTCTCATTGCGTATGATATCGGGTGACTTGAGTGAAGGACTGCTTAGCGCGAGGGATAGCAGGGATAGGCATACTTATAGCAGATAATTTTGCACTATAGGAGCCGATCAAAATATCTCGCGTTCGGCTCAGAGTTGGTTCTTGGTTCTCCAACCTCAGGCAAAAGACATTCGTTGCAACTCGTGTGTTAGGCGCCTACGGTGATCCGTAAATGTCCGTAAATCCGTAAATCCGTGATGAGTATATCATTTAATGGTCGGAGAGTTGACGAAGACTCTGACCTACACACAAAACTTCCATAATCCAAAATAGGACGGATGGTCTAGCAATAACTTGCCTGCTCTTGGAGGTGCAAAAATTGTGATATGTGTGACACAACCTTCGTCGTGTTTTCACAGGGTCTTGAATTTTAATGCTGTTTCATTAATAACAATGACAAACAGAGTGGCACTCAGAATTGACGCCAGCGTTTTCCAACTCGTGACCGGAGCCACAGCAGTTGCGGTATTATCTTGAAGCAAGAAATTTAATTGAATTGTTGACGTATTTTACGTAACGAGACTACTAAAAGTCTACTAAAAACAATTGGTGCCGTTCCTGATACCTCAAGAATGTATGGTGCGAAGAATGGCATAACTCCAGGTGGTATCGTACGCTTTTTCTATATCGAAGGAAATGGCTACCAGATGTTGTCTCGCAAAAGAAGTGGTGATCTCTGTGGCAAGAGCGACTAGATGACCCATAGCTGACCTGTGCATCCTGAAATCACATTGAAAAGGTGTTACATTTCTGTTCCAAGAGCCAGACCAGATGCGTGTTTGCCAATTGCCCTAAAAGCTTGCAAATACAATCTGTGAGCGAGATTAGGCGTTAAGTCGATGGGATTGTTCTATCCTTTCCTTCTTTGAGAATTGGGACAATAGCTTCGCGCCAAATTCTATGTCATGGCCTAAATATGTTTAGGAGGAGAAAACGTGCCTTTCCCGGCAGATGCTCTACCATTTGGTTATATAATGGTCTGGTCCTGGAACAGAACTTCCGCGCGAGCGAAGACAGAGAAACAGTCGCCCATGGAGAAAGGAGCATTATTGTCTTCCTCCAGGCGACTCAAAAGAATGCAATCAATAGTTTTCCATTCTTCTTTTGGTATTCAAAAAGCTAGAAGGAAAGAGTACGAAACTCGCGATTTGCTCGTAGTGATGTGCCAATTCCTCAACTATGTCTTCTGGGGAAGTGAGATTTCCAGTTACCCGTAACCCTGATACAGACTGTGGATGCAGTCTTCCTCCGATGCAGTCGCACCGTTCGCCATACTATTTTGGTGAGGGGTATGGCAAGAGAGTTCTCCAAGAAGCGGCCTTACTTTCTCGTATAACCAAACTATCTCTGGACCGGGTTCTTTTCTGTCCGTTTCTGCAGGATGAAACTGTCAACAGCTGATACCTGCCAGGGGCAGAATTGGAAAAATCGCAGTATAGTACTTACTAGGCTCCCAGCATATACACGGTCTTGTACCACGATGTGCTGCCATGTCTCGGACAGGCAAATTCACCTCATCACCTGACATTGTGGGAAAGTTTGCATCTGCCGTTTATGTGATTTTTTCGTGTTTTCTATATGAAACAATTAATGAATGTAAAGATTTAGTGTTATAGAGAATGTCCCACTGACTATGCGCCAGTCCCATAACTTCTAATCGGTTCATGATATCGAAATGATGCGAAATCATGAGGCAAGTAATATGCCGTAGAGATGTAAATAGTATAGATACGTAGTAATATATCGTGTTAGATATGAAGAGAGTACTGAAAGCCGTATCAAAGCAGACATGACGGTGAATTAACTTCCACGTTCAGAATTATTTAAAAGATACAAAATTGTTTATTTTAAAATTAGTGATTCAGATGGTCTATAGGTTTCAAGATTTTGAAAACTTTCGTTTTATTGAACTTCTTGACGAAAAGCGGTTTTCCATAAACAAAGCGTCCTTTTGTTCAGGAAAGTTTTATTTCCTCAAAACAAAATACATGAGCAGCTCCGAAGTGAACAGACAAATGTATACATTGATAATGCAAAATACATGTCTGATGATTTGTAACTGAAGTATTTGTTAGACAAATTGGTCTAGAAAAAATTCAAGCGACGGTTCTCAGTTGATACAACTTTAGTCCGCTAGTATGCCTAGTACGCCCGCTAGTAAACGTACTAGCTGGCTATGGTGCAACTCTGTCAAACTTTCCCTCAATCTATAGCATTACGCGAAAGGAATATGATTACATTGAAGACATTCCAGAGAATTTCCATGAGATACATCAGAATCTGTCATTTCAGTACACCGACTATAGAAGTGTTTGCTAAATTCACTGTGAAGAGACAACAGCTTTAAAGAACAAAATATTGAAGTTTTCGCTGAATGAAAGAAAAAAATTAAGTGGAGATAAGTTACAACAAAATGTAAGAAAAGATTTTTAGAATACCTAACTGCACGACTCTAGCTTCGCCATTGCTACTGTCATCACATCGTATCATACACCGCGGAATAATAAACACCGCAAGAGTTACTGCACAAGATGGTCCTCAGATCAAGAGAAGTATTGTTTATCCTTTTATAATTGAATTGATAAGGATAAATATTGCCAAACCATTACACTGAAAGCAATCGACACTCCAATTTGTTACCAATATTGTTAAATTTATTGTTGTGTACTAATGTTGTTAAACTTTATGTAGTTGCTACTAGAATTGATATAATGTATTGTTTTATTATTATTATTATTATTATTATTACTACTATTATTATTACTATTATTATTACTGTTATTACTATTATTACTATTATTATTACTGTTATTACTATTATTATTATTACTATTATTATTACTATTATTATTATTATTACTATTACTATTACTATTATTATTGTAATTATTATTCAAGAAAAATATAAGGAGTACTAATGAAAACAAAAATTATCATTAGTTTTAAAGGATTTGGCCACAAGATGCTCTAAGTTTTCATTTCAATATGGTTTCATTACTATTTTTCTCTTCATCTCTAATATTTGTATTGCTTAGTACCCAATTCTAACTTACAAAAAAATTCTAAATGTAATGGTAATTAGGTATGGGTGATGGTTAGGGTGATAAATTGTTTCTTTCATGCTGCTGCAAGAGTCAGAATGTGCTGCTTTGTTGCTTCCTTACTCACATGTAATAGTACAATTTGGCTGAGAGAGCAATTAAACCAATCGCCATCTTTTCAGACACTAAATAAATGGGAAATTGCATTTAGAGCAAAGGTTCAAACAAAAAGAAATGTCTTCTCCCATATAAATAGGAATAAACAAATTCTCATAATAAAATTTTCCTTAAAGATGGATTTTAAAAATAATTATCTGGTTAAATTTACTATTATTTTACTAATGATTTTTGTCCAAATTTATTGAATAAATTATTTCAAATTTACAAGAGAAATAATTACAAGAATGTGAAAAATAAACAATTTTGTGAAAAATCTTTAAAATTTTCATCTACATATGTAAATAAAAATGAAAGTACAGATACCTTATGGTTAACTTCTACCTGGCTTCACTTTTCTAATCAAGGTACCTAGAATAATGACCTAATGGATTTTAATGACTTTTTAGTCATAGGTGGAACATGGCACAACTGAACACAACACCACTTATATCACTTTGATGACTGATATTGAAAAGGAAGGTTTTAAGCACAGTCTATTCAAAAGAGATTTCTCCAGAATTGTGTGTCTTTGGGCTTCAATTACCTTCCAAACAAGGGTTCATATTTAGGTTTGCCATAAAGACAACAAAGGAATTCAGGTCATTGAGAGCAAACTGTTTCTTTTTATACAACTAAAAATTGTGTATAAAGTAAATCATAAAACAAAGAAATAATATATCAAGGATACAAGTAAAAATGAGGATGAAGATAAACTTTATTTAACATTTTCAAAAATAACAGGGTGACCACTCTTTTCCAAGGAAGAATTTCCCTGAATTTTCCAATTAATCCAGATTATTTCCTGATTTTTCCATGACAAAATTTCTTAAGTATTTGGGGCATTTAAAGAAAACAATAAATAAAGCATGATTTAGTTCAACAACTTATTGACTGAGCTCTTTTCCTCTTTGATTTCCAGATTCTCTTGCTCTAACACATTGTGAAAGAGACAAATGCACTTCAATTCAAAACGCACAGTACCTTTCTTCATCTATTTTTCAGGTCTCTGCAGATTGCACCATAAAGAGACAAAAATAACAATATTTGCTTAACAAAGGAATTAGCCGCTGGTGTTCTTGTATGTAGCACATTATGTGATGTTTCATAAGTAGTCTCAAATTGCAGTTGTTTTTTTTAAGACTGTGTGGAATTATAACAGAGTTAAAAATTCAGGTCATTTGGCAGACACAGCAAAATCTGGTGGGGAGTGGAACACATGTTGATATTCAGGACATCTCCCTCTTATTCAGGATGTATGGCATTCATATTTGTAAATAATTTGCAACAAAATGTCTGTAAAAAGGTTAAATAAGACTATATTAAAACACTAATCATAAGAAACAAAATGTTTATTAACATTTTCTTAGAAAAGTCTGTATCTAACACTTTTGATAGATTATATTTAGATAAAATCAGTTAACGCTGAAATATTGTGGAAATCTATATAGACAGGTAAAATAAAAATAATCTTCAATAAAGTATGTATTTAACATTACATTCAGATGTTACATAAAAGCAAACATGTTTCAGGGAAATCATCTTCAGTTCTCGCAATTAGATATATAAAGGAAAATAAATCTTTTCTGTAGTGTATTCATTTTCAAATTTTCACTGGAAAAAGAAAACCTGGCAGGTAGCGTTATTCTCAATTTTGGAAATAGTAATTCTGCCAACAAAAATATTGTGTGAATATAACAATGTTAAAGTGTGTAATTCATGTACTTTGGAATTTATTTTATAATATGTAAAATATTATAATTATTTCACTTTTCAATATCAACTCTTAAAATTAAAAATGATTTTCGTCATTGAGATTTATATCATAGAATTTGCTTCATGGATTACACAAAAATGATGATTAAACTACATGCTTATAGCAACATCATTTGAGAAAGCATACTATCAATACCTTTCCTTAATATACAATTGCTCAACATTAAAATTAAAAGTATCAATTTTTATTTTCTGCATACATGAAAGTTGAATAATAAAATAATTACGATCCTTCTTGAAAAGAAGTTTATGTTAACTTACAATTTTCCTTGACAATTTACATGATTTCTGAGTTTCAAGAAATTCACATATTTTTGGTTGTTTTTTTGTTTTTTCAGAGACTACTTCAGCAACGAATAATTGCAGAAAATGATGAATTACAGTTGGGACCTCAGTAGTCATTGAGTATAAATTAGAGATGCATTTTTTATTCATATATCAGTATAGTTTTGAGCTTGTACGTATTTTTAATATCTTTTTGTAGTTATCTATTTGGTGAATATATACACATTTTTTACAAACAAACTGATATAATTTTTTTTCGTTTTAGAAAAAATTTATACTAATTACTTACTAACTAATTAATACCAACATTTACAAGGAATTGATATTAATTTCCAACATTCTTGGCAGGAAACGTCTAAACATAATTAATAATATATACAAAAAATATATTAGGAGTAAAAACTTGATTGAAAAATAAGTGGTTAAATTGAAATATTTTTAGTAATTTTCCAAGTAGTGTTTCTCAAAAAGACTAATTCAATTAGCTAAAAAAAACATATTTCAGCTAACATTACTGCTAATACGATATGTTTGCTTTCCTAATACATGTTGGAACTACAATTGAAGTCAAGTTCTGCAAATCAATTTTGAGAAAAAGCAGACACTTTCTAATAAACTTCTGTGGGACCTTGTCTCATGGAAAGGAGTTAATTCATCAAATAAATGACCTCTTTTCTATATGTTTCATCTAAGATTGGCCATGTCATTTTTATTGATAGCTTAAAAACACATATTGCATGTCCAGAATTCCTGGTTTCAAGAAAACCAAGCTTGCAAGTTTATAAAGGTGCAGTTACTTTAAGCATCAGAGATTGCTTTCAGAGTACAAGCAAGATCCCTCTTTATATGGACATACAATCTTGGTACACAATGAAGACAAGAACAACAGGTACCCAAAAATGTTATAAACTCAAAAATAACTAAGAGTGGACATACAATGTTTGTGCACTAAGCCATTGATATATCTTATATTGCTCACATGTATTTATAATTCATAAGTATGTATAACAAGAAGACTCGTAAACTGTTGTTGTTGGTTTTGTTTTTTATGGAAATCTTTTAGTATTTTCAATGTATTATAATTGTGAAACTTTATTTTATAAAAGTTAAATTATTGTGTTCTTTTTTATTTTGTTCCTGAGCTTTATCTAATTATCAATGCATATCTGAATTATAACATCCCTATTTAATTACAATAATTGAAGATCCACTGTGCTGGCAAAACTGTTTACTCAACTTTTTTCTTTTTTTTTGTATAAATGAATGTACTCAATAATTGTATTTGGGAGAAAGCAAAAAAAGTTTTTAATTGAATTTAGTTATTTATATTTGTGAAATAAATTTGTATGCAATAAATTATTAGTTCCTGCATTTGCTTCCCGAAAGATAAGGACACTAATGATGGTGTTGATGCCGAGTTGTAGTAAACCAACAATGTTTTTTTTTTTTCTAGATTATTCTAAAACGTTTGACACTGTTGTTAGTTTAGATACTTCTATCTAATCTACATAATATGGAAGAAGGATCTGCAAGATAACTTTTGATTAGTTATAAGTTAAATGGTACTGAAAGTCATCCTATTAAGATAAATATTGAAATACTGTGGGGTGTTATCATAGACCACTGTAGTTCATTCTATCTATTTATTTATTTACTTAAAAAACAATTAAAAACTATGTGTGACTTGCAATGGGGAGAAGTTAATTTGAAGTTACAAAAATGATCTCTTAATTATACAGCAATATCTATTTGCCATTGCAGATGATACTGAAGCTCCAGTGACAGGATCAACATGGTCAGTATTAGCAGCTACGATACAATTAAAGTTGGATGTGTACTCATGGTTGTATAAAGAAATTTATTACTAAACATCAACAAGTCAAATTTTATAACATTTGATAATTGCAGAGACTCTACACCTCATAAAATTGATATCAAAATAATTGGACAGCAACTAAGGAGAGCTCAAAGTGGTAAATATCTTAAAAGTTACTTTTGGCTGCAATGTAAAGTGAGATGTGCATATGAATAATATCAGAAAAATGCAGAAATATTTAGTACACGTATTCTACTGATAGAAGCCAATTATGTCAACAACAAAAATCTGTTGTAAATTTACTGTGAACTCTTTCATAGTGTTGCAAGATGTGTTTATTATTGGCTAGGATGGACTATATGATGCATCACTTGATCCTTTGGACAAGTTGCAAAAACATATCCTTAAAATAATTGGTTATAATGAACAGAGCAGACCATTGAATATTCTTATCAAAAGTGTGTCATTGTTTAGACACGCCAAACAATTGGTCAAAGAAGCTATTTTTATTTCTCCAAAAATACTTTAATAAATTGCCTTATGAATTAAAAAATCTTCATATTAATCAAAAGAAGTTAAAACTTAAAATTAAACACATAAGTAATATGGATATAAACTGAATCATATGTTATATAGTTTGTCGTTATGTTACTTAATAGACTAATGAAACAAAGATTTACAAACTTTGTTAAATTTTGATAATATATAGATATTCTTAAACTTTTATATCTTTTTGATTTCTTTTACGTATAATATATTACAATCAAGTGAAGTGTGATTCACTAAAATTGTAGTTGTGAAATCCTTTCTCATATACATTTACATATAATATAAGATATATATATATATATATATATATATTTGAATTTCCCTTCCCAAAATTTGTCTCTGGATCTGGTCGTAATTGACGTAAGATTACATTATTACATCTTTCCCATCTACTCTTCTAGTATTCTCCATAATCATTTATTTATTTATTTATTTAACAGTTAAAAACTGTGTGTGACATCAGGATACATTCAGAATCACGGACTTCTCAATGGATATACTATTAACATCACAGTTCCCATCTAAAATCTCAATACATCTGTTCAGTGGGTTGGGGATTTCACCTGTAGTGCCAATAAGAAAATTGGTAGCACAATGACTTTTGCCATACCCCACATACATTTGATTTCATTTTCCATTGGCAGGCATTTATTATTTTTTTTGTGTATTTCCTTCAGATTGGTTGGAAAAGAGACTGTTATATCGATTATGTAAGTTATGTTTCAGTCTTCAAAACCAATGCAATATCCGGAATGTTCTTCGCGGCTGGTTTTTCTGTTTCACGGTTCAGGCGCTAGTGTTGCTAACAAACACCAGACAGATGGGCGGATGTTTTGAAAAAAATATTTTTTCGGTATCAGGGGACCCCAAATCATATATTTCCGTTGAAATCTAGAAATCGATTTTCCGCAGCATTACATAACTTTCCTTATACTACGTATATTACTCCGTATATACGTACGTATAAGGGAAAGTAAAAAAAAAATACACATATGTTCTTTAATCAACAGATTTTATTAAGAAACTAGTTCTGCTACCTAATGACACAGACTTTTTCGTAATAACACAATGTATGCTTTCACAGCCGATTTCCACATAATTAGACGTTTCCAAGTTTGTAGGCTGTGGTCTAATGGAGACTGGTCCATATGTTTTGCCTGCATCTGCGACAGGCATCATCAGTGGCGTTGCTGGCGGGGGCGAAGAGTTCTTCTTGGCAGCTGCGCGTTGACTGACCAAGTGACTGACCAGTCAGTCAAGGCAGTACTGCCAAGAACACTTCGCCCCAGCCAGCAACGCCACTAATGATGCCTGCCACAGTTGCAGTTGAAACGTATGGACCACGGCCTGCAAACCCGGAAACGTCTAATTATTTTTCTCGTAGTAGTTTCCTTATCTCTTCAGGCTGCGCTGTCTAATCGGTTTTGCGCCCCCTTCTTCTCAGCTGACGTCTATTGGCGCCTGAACACTCCCCCCCCCCACGATTTTTCGGATACCGAGTAGTAGAGTTGGAATATGACTTCAAGAATATTACATAAAGGTAAAACCTTGTCATATAAGGCAAACTGTAGTACCTATGGACTTATGTATAACCTAGGGGCAAATAATGTTTTTCGAGGAATTTGTGAGAGAAATTTCGTGTGGTTATTTTCCTTACAGTGATATTGCCATTTGTTTATCCAAGTGAACGATTTTGTAGTGTAAGCTGTTTACGTGATTTTATTAGAGTTTAATAGATTTGACGAGTGAAAAGTAAATTTTTCGCATTTCTCTTTCATCAATTTTGTAATAACTTGTTTTACTTTACGAAAATTGAAATAGGATTGAAGTAAAATTGAACACTTATTAGCATAGAATGTAGTTAATCCAAGGTGTATGTATACTTCTTTCCTACAGGTAACCTACAATTAACAGAAGCCTTGTTCATTCATGATTGCAGATTGTTGTACTTAGGGACAGTGACTAGACGTCCATAGGTACGCAAGAGTAGTATTAAACTGAATTCAACTGGTTTCAGTACCAGTGGCGGCTGGTGCCCCAACAGACTGGAGATTGAACCTCCATCGAATGACGGAAATGTAATTTCCAAAATTCAAAATACGAAAATATAATAAAACCGTAAGCGATTCAAATTAATTACAACGAAGTTAAATAACAGTCTATATTGTATCATTACTTACATAATTTTATGCATAGTGACCGAGAGTGACCGAGCATATTATACACATCCCACGCATGTGGTTCTGGCTTGGATTTCCATTGTACACTTAATTCGACTCCAGCACATCGCAACAAGCACTATTGCTTTACACAAATAAAATAATTTTATTTCGAAAATATCAGCACCCTGGTATATTTTGTAACAAAGATCCTTCCACACACACGCTCATATTCCACCAGCGCTTTCCGTGGTGTTACTGCAGCCTGCAGCATCTACTGAGAAAGAGACTTCCTACCAGATAGGTCAACATTACACAAAGAATTCAAGTGTACATTTAAAATCAGTAAATCTAATATCAAAAGGAAATAAATTCTCCAAATATCATAAACAATGCATTGATTATTGTCAATAATTGATTGAACTTGTGTAGTTTCAATAACAAGCGAAATTCATAAAATTACGTCGCAGCGAACCGACGAAGACAATATTGGGATTCCCTTGAGACTCCCTCGGTCGCCGTGCAGCGCTAGATAGCGCCACCAGCTGGTTGAGCTATCAAAACGGCCTATGACGCCCGTGTTAAATCGAGAGATTAAATGTAGCAAACCCAGTAAAACAGTGTATATGTGTATGTATGTATGTATGTGTGTGTATGTGTG